AAAAATGTGGTTGCTTCCAAAAGTATTCTTTCGTCATTTGGACATCCTCGCCTCTGATCCAGACACCAGTATTATCTTTAGTGAGAAACCTAGATTAGTTTACAGACGAGATCGCAACCTTAAAGACATACTTGTCCGAAGCCGACCCCCAACGATCCATACAGCACTTCTCCTCTTGGACTACTCAGTGCTCACGCAGCACCTGCAAAACATGTCCTTTCGTTGTCCAAGACTTCTTCGGTCAGTTTCCCTAATGGTTCTTTTCAAATTAGGGAAACCTTTTACTTGCGATGAATCCCGCAACGTAATTTATGCAATTATCTGCAAAACGATGCAGCATGGCATACATTGGGGAGACTGGCAGGAAGCATAGCTGATCGTTTCCGGAAACACCTCTCTGATATCGACAAGAAGACACTCAAACCAATCCCTCTTCATTTTAATAGCCCTGACCACAGCGGTAAAGATGACATATCTGTCACAGCATTAAAATCTTGCTCTGGCGATCATACTACCCGCCTCGCTTTTGGAAAATCGCTTATCCACAGCCTTGGCGTTCTTAGTCCAAGAGGTATCAATATCCAACATACCTCATCTAAATAGTTCTAATCTTATTACATTTTAAATGTAAATTATTTTATTTTATTTCATATTATTACCATATTCTATTTCTTATCAATATCATTTATGTATCATTAACACTTGCATTTCTTTTATTCCCAGTATTGTGACTATATTTTTTAGCCATCGTTTATTTTATTTTATTTCATTTATTCCGCATCAAATTTTTTAAACGTCGCTCACGTCACCCCTTAGAGATCTACATACTCTCCATTCCTCGTTTGTGTAGTCCACTTCTGTTTGAAAAAGGCCGCCCGGTCGAAACGTTACGTTGTGTTGTTTTGTGCACGTTTTCCTTTTTCCTATTTTGTTGAGCTTTTTAGTCATATTTCTCTGGAATTCATTATAATGGATAACACAGAAACAAGATGGCGGCATGTTCCCAAGTGAAAACTGGACCTCATTTTATCATGTTTAATGTCAATAACTCTCAAGTTTTTGGCTGAACCCCTTAGCAACCATATGTCATTGCTTTCAGGACAGCAAGCTCTAACTAAAGTTGTTGCCTTTTTAAAAATATGATGTGATGCTACCCCTAAATAACATAAAAATGAGTAAATTTATCAGTATTCATTAAATACCTTATGAATTTATTATTATTACCCAGTGAGTCTTGCAAGACGTATACTGTAATATATATATATATATATATATATATATATATATATATATATATATATATATAAATATATATATATATAAATATATATATATATATACTTTTGTAACTATTCTTCCTGCTATGATGCATCTCTTTCTGTTGGTTGAATAATGCTTTTTCTCGCACTGTCACTTGTGTGTGTGCGCGTATGCATACGTCTGACCGAAATTTGCTTTATTCCACTGTTTAAAAAATGTTCAATAGCAAGTGGATCGACTTCATTGCATCATTACTGGTTTAGTATGGCTTGGTCTTTCTCCACATAACTGAACGGCTTGTGCATGCTAAGAGCTTAGCACAAAGCCTGAATACCTTAGCTCCAGCAACAGCCCTCAGATGTCTCCGCTATCCAAAAAAATTCATTTTTTAGTTGTACAACGCATGAGCGTACCGCAACCTTCTGAGCGCGAGGTTAATGGCTTGACCCCTTTGCTACGGAGACCCCCATATTGTTTTATAACCAAGTGAAAATGAGAGCCCCTCTTACTGATTTAACATAATCCTTTTTTCAGTCTTTGCGAGTTATTCTTTCATTTTATTGATGATGAGGACATTTCACCACAGTGTTCCCCTCTTCTTCTTAACTAGCCACAGCTCGATATTTTATTTACTTGTTCAAAATAATCTAAGGTAACCGCCCGATTTGTGATTCAGTGCTATATTTTTCATGGAGTAAAATTATTAAATAAGCTCCTTTGTGATTCGCTTTGGATTTATGTTGTGTTTTCATGGAGCAGGATTTCATAAGGTAAGAGGAAAAATAACATTTTATTTTTTTAAAGTATCTATGTCCCACGTGATCTGTTTGCTGGCTAGTATATATTAGTATATATTAAAAAAATGATCAAATATTATTAATCATAAGTTGTAAGTAGCCCTAGCTGTAAGTAAGTAAACTTATGCAGTTAAACAAATTATAATATTTTATTATTAATTTAATTAATCATCAACTATCAACTTTCTAAATAAGCATATCTAAAATCTAAGGAAGTAAAAACTACAATTTTAATACTAATACATAGTATCAGTCATAAATAGTACTTGTATTACTATCTAAGACAATAAAAATGCACCACAAAATCATAGTGCAGAAATATATGGCAGACATTTTTTAAATGTCGATCTGGGAGCGGAGAGTGGGGGTTCAGCAGGTAAAAAGGCCTTAAATAGGTAAGGTCCTTCATGCCCAATGATAGGTTATGGCTTAAAAAATTCTATAATGGCTAAAGATTCCAAAAATGATTTAAAAACTACTTTAATGTGATTTTAAAGTATAATAAAAAATGTTCAAACCAATGTCTGTGTCCATTTTCAACACTCAAAATACCCTAGCCAAATGGTCTATGTCAAAAACGTGGTAAAACATTATTTGCAGCTATTTAAAACTATTAAAACTGATGTCAAATGAAAGTTAAAGACAGTTAAGTGATTAATAGAAATAAAACTTGCATTATTTTTTAACTGTTTTTATAAATAACTAGATATTAATCAATCAGTTCGTTTAGACCACAGGGCGGCCATTTTGAAACATCTCCGATTTAGCTCTCAAGACACAATTGGGAACAAATTCAAACTTTCAACTTCATCCTGTACAGATTCCAACAAAACTGCCCACCTTTATGTAAAAATGGACACAGAATCCAAAAATGTAACTTGAGAGTATTTAATTTTACCGAAAACAAGAGATATTAAAGAAAATTTACTTCCTGCATGGCAAATAGTGAAATTTATTTGGCTGAACAAAGACCGCTACGTTAGTTAGGTGTCGTTTTGTAGAGCGACCTCTTCTGAATAACTTTGAGCCCATGTATTCGATTCAGAACAGCCAGTATTGAGAGACGGGTTTTCAAAGTAACTGATACGCAAAGGAGCCATTTTTCGTGGACCACCGACGCCATCTTGTAACTAAGCGATCTCTACTTTCGTTTTAAAGTGGGTCACCTTCTTGATTAGCATACCTAGTAATATCCAGTTTTCTTCTTCATTTCTTATTTTCCTTCTTCTTAGCATTCACACACATGCACGCACACAGACACATACACATGTATATATATATACTCACAAATGTACAGAGAAAGAGAGAGAGAGAAAAACTCTGGAAACAATGGTAGCAGTAACAAGGATAATGTGATTATCATTTTCAGATCAGGTAAAGCTTTAAAGCAGACACAGCCAAATGAGGACAGCCAGAAATCCCCTGATTCAAGAGGACAACTGTTAGATGCCATTAGACATGGTGCAAATTTGAAAAAAGTAGGTAACTTTTTGAACCACCACCCCAAGAAGTGTGCAATCGTGTACATATTTAGGCAGCATGTTTTTGAAGATGGAATAGATAAAGATATCAAAATAGTTTATGTAAGGTTTCCTCCGAAGTCGGAGTACATCTGCCTGAGAGGCGGGGAACGAGTACTGCAAACAAATAAGCCAGTAAAACGGATGTAAACGCAAAACTCAGGTCAAGGTAAAAGCCAAAAGTCCATTTTGGACGAACAACCGTGACTTACCGCCGGAATTCACAGCCGGTGAACAAGAAGAAGAAGAAGAAGTTTATGTAAGGCAAGAGGGTCATTCAGTGCACTAGAAAACCTGTGGAATTCTAAAGAAATTGAACCTTGTAGAAAACCTGGACAGAGAACAACTAAGACAGTTACTAATGACTGAAAACATTTGGTAATTGATGCCTCTGCAGAACAGAAGGGTGGTGTTCACGGTAACCGTGACGTTGACTTTTCATTCATAGCTTCTTGGACTCTTCTGGGACTCAGGGGTGTGCGAGTCTATTATTTCAACGTCATGGTTACCTTGAACAGCACCAACAGAGGGAATTAAATAGCATGGCAGAATCACTAATGTGATTCTTTTGAGGAGATCCATCTGAACATATTGCAGTGATTCAAGAAGAGAGCAGCACATGCATACACACGTAAGACATACCGTAAGGTAATCTGATAGTAGTGTGACTGTATAGAATATTCATTTATTGGAACCTATAAGGTTAACTACTGATATCACATTCAGGAAATTCTCATAAGTGCTCCGTTCTCCTCTTCAGCAGGCAGCAAAGAGTTCCAATTCCAGTGGTGCCCGTAACAGTTTGATTATATGTCTTTCTTACCTTTCTTCTTCTTCTTCGCGTTCACCAGCTGTAAACTCTGGCGGAAAGTTGTGGTTGTTCGTCCACTTCTGGACTGCAGTCCTATTCCAGAACCTGAGTTTTGCGTGTGCATCTGTTTGACAGATCTGACTCATTTGTTTGCGGACTGCTGGTTCCTTGCCTCTCAGGCAAATGCACTCTGACTTCAAAGGAAGCTCCCAATTAGTCGTCGACTCTTTCGACTTGCTTTTGGGTAGGCAGTGGGTCTATTCTTGTTTTCCCTATAATAGGGCCCCGGAACCCACATGGAGAATTTCTTACCTCTGAATGTAGTGTTGGCAACATCCCCAGATCAGGCACTCGTAGCTGCACCACACTTCTCCAGGCTGTAGTATCATCTATTTGTACCTCAGAATTGTTTGCTTACTCCCAGTGGGTCCTGACCTCATCTAGCCTGTGAACCCATAGGTCAAAGATACCATTGGACATCTAAAAACAGATGGAGAAGAGCAGCAGAAGCCAGGTAGATCCAAAATGTCAAATCAGAAGTGAGTGAAGGAAGACACGGAAATGATATGTCTGAGAAGTGCTGTAGGAGTGACCATAAGAGATAGGATCAGGAATGAGATCATAAGAGAAGTCGGCACAGAACCAATTCTGGATTACATACAAAGACAGCAAGTGAAATGGTTTGTCCACTTAAAGAGAATGCCTTGTGACACCATACCAAGAGCTAGAAACAGAACCTTATATCTCCCTCGACACCCACAGTGGTAAAAGAGGAAGTGAAGATGAAGAAGAAGAAGAAGGAAGACAGACCGACCATTTCAGCACATAATGATGCATAGTTGGATTTGTATTGTAACATGATCATTCTGATTGCGTACATAAGGATTCATAAAATCAAAGCTGTATGGCACACTGAGATTTGGACTGCCAAAAGCTTTTATCAAGGCTGCTGGCCTTTTAATGTAAGGATACAGGTCACAGGTTGATCGAAGGGAAGGATTGGATGGCACAAGCAGGAGACACAATTAGACATGTTTGTACACTGGACAAAATTGGAAAAGGAGAGGATTGGCCAGCAGGAACTGCAGAATCAGAAATCTAACAGGTGGTTCATGATAATTCCTGTCCAGGTGGTGTGATGGTCTGTACAGATGGCTCTGTTTTGAGATGTAGAAGAAGTATGTCGAGTTCATTGTGAAAGCGAATGGATGACGCTAAGTGCAATAAATTCCTGTGTGGGTTCCAGGGCTGCATTGTGGGAGAACAAGAACAGACCCGCTTCCTGCCCAACAAGCATGTCGTAGGAGTCTGTTATTTGGGAGCTTCCTTTGAAGTCAGAGTGCATCAGCCTGAGCTGCAAGGAACAACCAACTGCACACAAATAAGCCAGTAAAAGAGATGTAAACGCAAAACTAAGGCCCTGGCACAAAGCCAAAATCCAAATGGGTGAACAACCAGGACTTTCCTTCTGAGCTTACAGCCGATGAACGAAGAAGAAGAAGAAGTGCAAAAAAGTATAGCCTATGATAGTAGAACATCTAGAATGGAGGCATTCTCCTCAGCTTTCCGCTGGATTGAAGCAACCAGCTGTACGCACATGTTGTGATTGGTACTGACTCACAAAGCATTTTAGGAAAGGTAGAAACAGGCATGCTCTGGACAAAGAAGCAAAGGTCCTGGATGGTTAGCCTTCTTTGGATATTTTCTCCAGAGAATGCAGAAGTGTTAAGAAAAGAACAGGCAGACAGATTGGCTGGTTCTGCACCAGTGGATGGTGGATTTACGCATGACAAGCTAGATGTGGTCAAGGCTCTTTGGAAGCATACCTGTGATACTAAATCCCTCCAGAGTGCGGATAGACAAGCAGTGTTTCCTTTCAAGTAAGCATTAAAAAAAAGGATACAGGCGAAGAATATTGACTGCTCCATGTTTATCGCAGAATGTAGGCAGCATAACGGTGACAGATATATATAAAAAACTACAATAAAGGAAAGTGTCGCGAAAGATGTAAAGTAATTAGACATCTTATGTGGGTGGATCAGTGCACATTCTTGTGACAGAAACCAGCTACAAGATGGTTGCATCAGTAGATGCAAACTGTTTTTGGAGCTTATATATAAGCTGCTGAATTTAGTTTACCATACAGGGTGGTTTAAATAGAAAAATAAATGTGAACTGTCTAAAGATATGTCCCACAGATGCTGGTTGAAAGAGCAACCAAAGTCCTTCGTGGATGTTATTTGCTATTTCCGCCAAACACTGGTGTGCATGCATGTATAAATGCCAGCAACGGCTTATTCTGATGACTCTTAAGTACATGCTCAATTCTTAATACAGTGCAGACCTGATAAGGATAACTTACTGGAGACCCACAATGCTTCTTATTAAGGAGAATTCACTGGAGGCCCAAGAAATGCTTCTGCTTATCAGAAATTTCTCTTATCCAGATAAGAATTCAAGGAAGAAAGTTTGCTGAGGATAAAGAAATTTTTGTTCATAACAAAAGTTTAGCCACATTCGAGATCACCTTAAGCGGCCAGTCTGCACACTGTAGTTGCTTTATTTAATTTTGCCCCACTTGTTAATATACCTTCCATTCATTTGTAAAAAAGCCATTGGAATCATTTTAATTACATTATGCTTCTTATTCTACAATTGAAACAGTTCACAAACTGCAAATTATCAAGGAGTTCTTAATCTGCATATTGTCTTCTTCTTCTTCTTCTTCTTCACTTCCTCTTCTAGTGCTCCAGGTCCTAAAAGATGTGCAAGGTTCTGCTTCTTGTTGCCTCTACCATGGACACCTTGTGCTGTTATAATTCCATCTTGTTCTTGGTCTCTCCTCTTGTAACATTTTGTCCAGCACAGAATATGTTAAATCTTTCTAATCACTACTCATGTTCGGTGACTGTCAGTGAAAAACATTCCTAGTAATTCATAGCTTGTGTTGATGTTTGCATAGTTCAGTTATATTTCAGTTTTTATCTTGAAAGTTATCTTTTCTTGTTCTGTATAAAATCTGAAATGCTTTTATGCTGCTATTTCTGGCCTAAGTTTTTACGATAAACTGCTGTGAAAATAGGTTGATCCCAGCGAGAAACCAGCATCAGCCACATCTGTTGAGACAGATGGCCTCGTTGGGGCTCTAGCTCGTGCACTGGCCAATCGACAGAAGCAGATCCACGGATCAGGTAACTTCTCCATGATGGCGGGCAATCCCACAATGATTTTTCAAATTATTGGTGGACTTTTATGTGTGTCTAATGCTTTGTTTAGATGCACGCATGTTCTGCTGATTTTGTTGATTTTTATTCCAGAATCCACCATAGAAAAGAAATTAAACCTTTTTATTTAAAAGATTTTGTTTCACTGTCTGAGAAAGGAAGTTATGTTTTTTTTTATTATTGCCACATTGGCTTCTTTAATTAATATTATTCTTGTGGTTAAATTATTATATTGCAACAAAAACAAGTAACTGCTGACGTACATTATTAATATGATTATTTCATTGTTTAACCTGATCATAAATATCAACAAAACCACAACAAATTAATGTATTTTCAAAGTGTAAAGTTTATCACTTTCAGGTGGATAGTAAATATCTTTTTTTTTTTTAAAGTGTTTTCTGAGCTTTCGTTGTTGTTGCATTATTTGTGTTAAAAACTGTTGTAGATTCTATTTTATTTGGATCTTTCAGCGATGTTTATCACTCAGCTATTTATACATGTTGTGAATGTTTTGTGAATAACATGGTTTTGACAGCACTGTTTGAACTTCCTCACAATTTCAGCAGTCTTTTAGGTTGTAAATTTACATTTGGTAACACCTTGTTGATGAATATTTTCTCTGTCAGTATTTGTGACCATTAATTTCACTAAATTTTGCAGATTCTAAACTAGCAGATACCAAATGACCAGTATTAATCATTCTGACAGCATTTGCATTGTCTTGTTTTCAAGCATGCCACTTTGTTTCTACTAATCATAAATTAGAAATTTTCTATTTCAGAAGTGGGATTTCTGCAGTCACTCCTGGCAATACTTTACCCCAGAACTTGCATGTTCAATTATATAAATTTGTGCACTTCATCTCAGCTGAATATTTTTCCCACATAAAGGAATGTTCGCATTGAACTTATAAATATTTGTCTGCTTGATAAACTACTTGTGTTTACTATATTTTGTGTGTGCCCTAATTTCCAATATTTATTGAGTTAGCCTTCCTGGATGTTATTCTGTGTGCCATTATTTCTTTATTCCTAATCTGTTTACTTTTGTTATAAAGCAGCTGTGATATTTTTACCCCTCTGCTAGGAAAAAACTGACTATATTTATATTACCTTTTATAGTTTTTTTATAATTAATTGTTTACTTTTTTTTAAAAAGCTGCTATGATGTTTTTACCCCTCTGCTATAAAAAAAAAAACTGACTATATTTATATTGCCTTTTATGGTTTTTTTATTTTGCTGTTTATTATTAATTCACTGTTCCCCCAGAATATTGGTACCTCCCTTTTTATTATACATTTCTCTTTCCAGTTAGCACTGTAAAATATGTGATGTGATGTGTAAAACTGGTAAAATGTAACCTTTTTCTGATTGTTCTCAAATGTCAACTTTCACTTCTTTAGCATGTCTCCTTTCTCCCCCCCCCCCCCCCCCCCCCCCCAACTGTTTTTCAATGTTTTTTTCAATACTTATTCCTTCCACATGTTATCTGTTGTCTTCAAAAATGTTCCTTGCATATGCAGGCAGATTTTCTGTTCCTATAGTTGCTGTTTTAACTTGCCTTATTGGAATTATTCTGTGAAATATTTGTATAGACTTATTTTTCTTGAAGATAGAACAGTCAGTGTAAAATTACCAACCACCTATTAATTTTTTTTTTTTTTTATCAAGAAAATTTGGACCTTTCAACAGTCTTTTATTATGTCACAATGTCATCAAAATGGGATTCCTGGCCTTATGATTTCAGCCATTGCTGATGTTGTTTTAGTGTCCTGTCAGTTCAAACCTCTTTTATGAAACAGTATAATAACGTAACTCTTCCATGATTAAGGTGGATACAGCGGAGGATAGGCCAGTTTCCAGCAATCCAATTGAAATGGATGGCATTGTGGGCGCTTTAGCTAAAGCTCTGGCCAGTCGTCGTCCAGCGTGTGTCAACAGTGGTGAGATGGCAATAGATGTGTTTTTTTTTTTTTTTTTGTTAACTTTAGCTAAGCTTTTACAAGCCAGAAATTATACCCTCTCATTTCCCTCTGTTATTAGAATTTAACAACCATGTATTTTGCCAGCTACAATATTTCTTTAGTTGCTAGTCTTTGCATATTTGCTTTGTATATAGAAAAATGCAGAAAAAGGAATTTGTAAATTGACAAAGTTATGTTTATCAATGTTTTGAAAATTTTTAGTCTTAGTCTTAGTCAAGGTGCCACGGAGATGGAAATTCAGCAATCAATTCAAGATAATGCTCACTCAGAGGATTTGATCATTTACACAGAGGGTTTAGTGTAAGGAGGCAAAAGAAGTGCCTAGGGCTTCTTAGCAAAAGTTAATGGTTGACGTTTGGTGCAGGAGAGCCTAGCATATGATACCACAACATCCAGCTTAAGAGTGGAGGTGGTCACTGCCGCTTTCCGCTGGTTAGAGAACACGACTCAGACACACATCGTGATTTCATCTGACTCAGAAAGCATGTCGAGAAAGATCAGGACAGGCATGCTTCATGAAGAGTGGCATGCTTCGCTGCAGAGGACACAGGTGAGGAGTATTGTCTGGATTTTTTTCACCGGGGCACGCCGGTGTGTTAGGAAATGAACAGGCAGACATACTGGCTGGCTCTGCACAACTTGGTGGAATACTGATACATGTTAAGGCAGACGTGGTTAGTGCCTTGTGGGAGAGTGTGTACAGTTTGGAGGAGCAGATGGATCACCACAGTCTGGTGAGATTGATGCAGGGGGGAGAGACAAGAGGTTCTGGCCAATGCTCGAGGCTCAGAGGAAAGGCAGAACGGACGTTTAATTAGAATGCTACTGCACCATTAGTATAGAAACTCATTCGCTGGCTGCTGAGGCCTCAGGGTAGATTAATTAACACACCAGACGTTGCTTAGGACCAACAGAGTTAACCCTGTCGTCAGAGAAAGCGAAATCTAGCCACTTTAGGTTGTGATACAGCTCTGTAAATACTGGTATATTGTGCCATTTCTTCAGTGACCTGTCCTTTAAAAAAAAAGTATAGTTAAATGCTGTTGGTTATATGTGCACCCATTTAGAAGGCCCAGATGTTAATATATTTACTGAATATAGCATATAGCATTAGAAGGGTATCCTTGTAAATCTAATAGCTTTTTAAAAGACAGGTTGACTGAAAATTTTACATCAAGCCTCAGTGATATAGGTCACTGATTGAGTCACCCGATACATTTTTTTTAAAGCTAGAACGGTTAATGTAATATATTTTCCCACTTGTATTGTTTTACTCTTTTAAAAAATGGCCGTGACTCCCCGGTTGACCCAGCCTTGAGTTGGTACTGGGTGCAGTTCCGGGAAGTAAAGGCAGCCGGTGTGATGCTGACCACATCACCCATCTTGTGCCGATTGGTCTATAAAAATGTAGGTCTAGCCCTGTATGCCTTATACGCCTAAAGGCGTGGAAAAGGGATCTTTACTTTTTTTAAATATTTTTTTTTCTCTCACAGTTATGTTTTAATTGTTGATTTTTATCTCACGTGAAGGCAGTTTAACACTTTTGGTATTATTAGGTTAAGGTCATCTGGTCGTTTATGTTTCTTCAGAATTTGCTGAGGGAGACAGTACTTTTGACCCTGTCCTTCATGAAGTGACATTGCTTATTCAAACCCCTTACTTTTGCATAGATTCTGACATTTTTGCAGCAGTCGTTTTTTGATACATTAATTATAAAATTTTTGGCTTTTTGTCGAAAATAATGTTTGCTTCCATTTTCAGCTTATTTGCCATCCCAGCTACCTCTGTGTGTAATTGTAATAATACGCTTTGATTAACCAACTAACAATTTTTTATATATAAGGCGAAATTGTTTTCAGATTTTAGAAGCAGGATCTGTAACATCAACTGGACTACTGGTGTCATAATGATAACAGACTTTAGGAAGAGCACAATATTTTCTTGATTTGACGTACCTGTTTCATAATTAATCTATGTCCCATTTTTTTTTATAATTAACAATATATATTAGTTAATAGTACATTTCAAGAAATAAAACTATTAAAAATGTAAAATCCTGTCAGTGAGATAAGTGCTGGATTTATTCATCATTTAATTGTAAAGAACCCTCTCCACGGCTTCGGGCACTGTAAATTGTACAGTTTGGTATCTTGGATTAAACTTCCTGTTTACAGAAAAATTGTTTAAATTTTAAATTGGCCCTATAGGTTTATATTCTCTTTAATGGTATTAAGGGACGCCCCAGTCCCAGTAATCTGTCGGGTCAAGAAAATACTGCGCTTTCACATGCATGAGATACTAATATAATCAGGTCTTTTAACCTTTAACTTCATGTTTCAACACCTTCCATGCGCTTCATGTATCCTAAATGGGTTTTTTCATGTACTCAGTACTGATCCACTAAACTGCTTTACCGACAGTTCGGTTGTCATTTGGTTTGCCTGTATTTTTATTTTTAACTGGCTAAAATATGGGACTCTTATTCAGGAGACCTGTGTTTTAGTATTTCTAAGGAGATAGATATTTTTTTTTCTGTTGAGAGCAAAAGTGAAAAAATCCTGGCCTGCACAGTTCATGATGACTGCACTGTCTGTATGACTTTAAATGCGTAGGCTCAAGACCCTCATTGTCCTCCACTGCCTTAATACTGGTAGTGAAGACAGCTGAACCATTCTTTGCCAAGATAAATAGTGATCTTTTTAGCACTTCTGGATCAGCTAGGTTTGTGTGTGTGCTTTTCACTGTTCCATTAAACTACTTTACTGACAGTCCAGCTGTCATTTGTTTTGCCTATTTGTCTATGATCAAGTCCTTCTTCTTTGCATTCACCAGTTGTAAACTGGCAGAAAGTTCTGTTTCCTTGTGCACTTCTGGACTTCAGTCTTGATCCAGATCTTGTGTTTTGCGTGCACATCCGTTTTTCAGATCTTGCTTATTTATATGCAGATTGTTGGTTCCTTGTCGCTCAGGCAGATGCGCTCTGACTTCAAAGAAAACACCCTGATTATTGACTTTTACAGCACGCTTATTAGGGAACACAGTGGTTCTATCATTTTTTCCCCTCCCACCTGGGGCTCCGGAACCCACTCGTAGAAAATGGTGCCCAGTTCAGTATGTGTTTCTACACTGGTTATTTAAAATCTTCCAATACTCTTTCACTGAACTACTTTACTGTCAGCACAGCTATAATTTACTTTGCCTATTTTTCTACCTTTCTTTGCCAAGGTGGATAGTTTTGTGGACAGGCCTAGTGGTAGTCCTCTAACTACAGGTGGTCTTGTAGGCGCATTGAGACATGCACTGGACAGTCGGCGAGTAGCCTGTGTGCATACGGGTGAGACCAGCAATTTTTTCAGCTCTGGAATGCTCATAGAAGCTCAGTTATGATGTCTGAATGAGCAGCTTTATCACACCTCTGCAAATGTAATCATGCTATCAGCATCTTGTGTTATATTTACCCACAGTATGTGGGAGTAGTTAAAGCATTAGAATGACTAATAAATTAGTTATATTTCATTTACAGGACGCTGCAGAACCAGCCTCAGCAGTTGTTTGTCCTTATATTCTGCCAGTAGAGCATAGGCTCTCAACCAACTTATGCCAGGCTGACCTATGCGTTGCTGTTGCATGTAGCTCACCACATGTCCTCCCCGTCTTTTTAACTTTGCTATCTAGTTCCCTTTTTGGTCTATTCCCCTATGGGGTTTTAGTATAAAGCCTTTCTAGTTATGTTGTTATCAGGTTTTCTCGTTTTGTGTCCTATCCATCGCCGTCATCTTTTCTTTACTTCTTGATTCTCCTGAATTCGTTTAGTTCTCTTCAAAAGCTCCCCACTAGTGATTCTGTCATACCATTTAATTCTCTCTATTCTGGGCAGGCAACAGTTCATGAATGTTTTTAGTGTTGGGTGGAGAAAAAGAAACACTCACATTTACAACTAAACAGTTTGACTGAAGTCTTTATTTTATCAATAAAATGTATTTGATTGAAAAAGACTTTTGTCAAAACATGTTTAAGGGGTCCCCTATAGTAAACTGGTCTAACCATTGGCTGCATGCTCTGAAAGTCATGAGTTGATGTCATAGCCTGTGTTTTGGGTTCACAGTGCAGTTTTTATGCAGATCTCTGGGGAGTATTGCTGGAGCTACAGAGTTTGTACTTTGTGTGACACTTACAGCAGGCTACTCTGCAGAAAGAGATCGACCCATGTGGGATTTAAAACCTAATGCAGTGAAGTTGATCTTCTAAACTTTCACCCATTTTAGTTTGTGTTTAGTGAATTAATTTCTTGATATAAGCTTAACTGCAGTCATTCTTATTTTCAGAGTTAGTATTTGTAGCTTAGGGTGAAGTAATACATTTCCAACTGTTTGTAAAATGTTTTAACTAAAAATTGAAGTTCAAAATCTTCATTGCTTTATGACAGAAGTAACAATATTTGCACTCTAAGCAAACCTGTAAGGTCTCAGTTTCTTGTAGCATAGGTTTGGCGCAGTTTTTTTGGTTTGTTTAGTTCTTAAAAGGATAGTTTGTTCTTTCTTTATTATGGTGTGTGTGTATATATATATATATATATATATATATATATATATATATATATATATATATATATATATATATATATATATATATATATGTGTGTGCGCGCGCGCGCTACATCGAACACATCCTGAGAAGAAACCAGCAGAGAATCACTAAACAGGCACTAAAATAGGAAATAAAATCATTAGGGAGGCAAGGACAACCCCCCAGCCTCAAATGAAACCCTAAAGGTGAACGTTGATGAGAGAGGCCAAAGCTGGTGGACTGGATTCCATCTATGATATTGAACTAATTCCACAGGATAGAACTGAATGGAGGAATAGACTGTGAGCCCTTTGTCACATATAATGGCACAATAGGATAGTGAATGAATGTTTATATATACACGCACACACACACACATGCCAGCATTTTTA